CTTAAAAATCTGATGTGTTGAAATAAATCGTCGAGAAGGTACGAAATGTATTTACGTAAGAAAACCAACAGTATTGCGAGGATTTCTATCACATTAAACACAATGTATGATCATCTAATCGCCTATTGTCTCACGTACATACAAACAGATATGTATGATCGGTGATTGGATTTGCAAATTAAGATACTAAAAAAAAAGGCATCGTAAAAAATAGTGAGAGATGCAGTTTAAACCTAAGGTAACATGACTAGATAAAATGCACTTTGTCGTAATACTTCAAAACATGTCAAAATGTGGTAAAAGTAACTGTTGCAATGTTTTCTTCTTCGTCACGATAACGTAATACCAATTTATATCTTATCCATTGTTTCACGAGTGGAAACAATCAGTCACTAATCTCGGGCGCTTAAATTATCTCCTATTGAAAAGCACTTTATATAAAATTTCGGTCCGGTGATCCCGCAAAATGAAGCATCGTTTATGCGTACGATTTTAACAAAACCGTCATTCCTCTCTTGAAAAGGAATTGACGATGAGGTAAAATCGCAAAATGCGTATTCATGAGATACCTTAAAATCTTAACCAGGCGTTCTTATGTACATAATATAAACAATTCGCTCTAATATTTACAAAATGAGAACAGTTTACAAGATACTAAACATCTATAAATCACAATTATCGCCGACACCAACAGTGTGTAAAACATTCGTTCGTTACCACGGTAATAAATTGTGCTCGGTTGTGTGAAAATTTTGTTCCAATACCTAGTTCAATGAAATCCCTTGTATCCACGAGCTGAGATCGCTCGTGTCATCGCAGCTGAGGCTGAATGAGTTCTTCTCATCTTTCCTCGACTCCAGGAGCGCTTGAGCCGCTGTTCTACCGGTTAAATACGCCCCGTGTACCGTGCTATAAAAGGAAGAATGCGTATGCTCTCCTGCGAACACTATCGCGATCTTCGAGGAATCGTCCTCTCGTAGTATAGGCTCAGCTAAGCAATTTATGTCTAATTGACTGGCACCGACGGCCATAGCCGTGTAGGAACCACGTGTGTATGGCTGCGAATGCCACGAAGTGTGCAAACAATTTTTCGGCGCCGGGACGTACGGATCGCTCAGAAATTTTCTTAATATCGTTGTGCACACATCCGCGATCTCCGCGCCGCTCAGTTTCTCCATATACTCAGCGGCCTTACCCGAAATCCAGCCCAGCAACAGAGTCTCTGAAATTTTCGTGAAAGAGTAGATCTTCCTGTACCACGTTTTACCGATGTCTTGTTTCTCCGCCTCGGACAGTCCTCTGTCGTCCCATAGCAGCATCACTTCCGACACGCCGGGATTTAAAAACGGTCTCTCGTACTCCAGATATATCTTGTCCACGGTACCGAACAAAAGTCTGTTTATGGCTTCGAGTTTGCAATTCGGCAGTGGAGGATCGAATATGTCGTTCGCTTTCTCTTTAAGTACTCCTAATGGCAATGTACAGATCAAATGATCTGCTAGTATCGTTTTACCGCTCTCGCATTTCACTTCGATTGATGGATTCGCATTGGAACCATTATTAGAATTATCGTTATCCGCTCGTTTATTCCGTTGCCACCTACAATCAACATCCATCCAGATCAACCATTCGCACCAACGCTGACATCACACCAACATCGACTTCGATTTACCTAATTTTCGTGACGACGTGTTTAGTCAAAATGCTGGTTTTGGGTATGTGCTTCGCAACCGGCTCCAATATCGCGCTGTATCCATCCGGAAGACTGATATTTCCACCTTGAAGTTCCGCGTACGAACCCATTTCCAAGAGATCAACGTCTTGCATACTATCACAGCCAGTAATACAGGTTTCTCTTTTGAGTAAACAATCGAACAACAATTGTCTGACTTTTCTTTCCTCAACTGGCAGAGTTGAGAGATAAATTTCAGCCTCTAATGCCACGTGTTCTCCCACACTGTTTATTCCATCCGGTGGGCTATAGCTACTTAAGAAATATTCTTCGCATCTCCTTAGGAAACACACGTAAGCTTCATATATTTCTTGCAAAACTGGAAAAGGTACTTGTATCCCATCTTCCATAGCAGCTACAACTTTATGAGGCCTTGGTACATGTACAATATCTATCAATCCGTGTGCCATAGCTAATTCGAACATTGGATTTCCTAGAACTCCATGAATCCAATTTGCTCCTAGCTCTACCTTCTCATTTCCTGTATTAAAGTACACAGTTTTCGTATTCTTACACATTTATTTCCAAGAGTCAATGGGCCACAATTATTACTTAATCTTGAATTAAACTAGAACTTCCAATTTCCAAAAACGAAATATAATTTCCAAAAAATCTTGAACATTACTGACAGTTCACTTTCTTTTATCTTCCAAGAGAAATGATAAAACTTATAATTCGCTACTTCTCGCTGTGATAATAACACATAGAAAAACTTAACAATTAACGTGGATGTTATGTCTTAAAACATACACCGAAATGATACACAATTCCGTCGGTTAAAACGAAAAACCGAGCTGGGAAATCGAACGTTTATTGATTATTAACAAAATTTGGAAATAGGTTAACTGGGGACTCACCGATTTTCGTGGCGACAATACGTCCGCCAATTCGCCCTCGAGCCTCGACAATTAGAAAATCGTTTTCATAATTTTTCAACAAATGATTCGCGGCCGACAGCCCGGCCATCCCAGCGCCGACGATCAAGATTTTGCACTTAACTTTATCATCCTCCGTCTTCTTCGTGGATTCCGCCATGATCATATCATATCAGCTGTCAATACCCAGTTAACCATCTGCCGCCAGGCGGACGGCAGATTGACGGTAGGCCTAGCGTTATCAGAATTATCAGAACAGAAAATCAGAGGCTCACGCACGGGCGGGATTTCGTGATTCCCGTACAAGTGCTGCACCAAGAGGTCAAGCCTCGTAAGGGTTCCACTGTAGCGTAGACAAGAACCGATTACTCCTGTTTGAAGTTTGAACTCCTGGGGCAGCCACCTGTCGCGCGCTTGCGCGTTAATGATAAAACACCTCGATGTCTCGATGTTCGTTCCTGACATCCTGACTGCCAGTGTAAACCAAAATGGCGAGCGTAGCGATTGTTGGTGACAGTTCTCGGCATGTTCCACCCGCGTTTTCGGGGTTTTAAACGGGACACGCGAAACTATACGTTTACTTTGATCTATTTAATTAAAGAACGGTGAGCGAAGAACGATGTTGTGCGCCTGTCGATGCGCGCCACGCGATTCCCTCGAACTAATCCGATCGGATCGGTACCCTCTCAATTTGGATGGACAGTGGCGGGGTGACATTGACGTTAGTCGTTGAATGAAGTGTTTCTCGCTTGATTGCCAGCATACCGGGATCGCGTTCGATCCGTAATACCGCATGTCCGTTACCCGTACTAATGCGAATACCGAAAGAGTGATTCTTTTCTGGGTGTGTATTGCCAACCGTTCGAAAAACGAGCATACGTTAGAAGGAGAGATCGTTTGATAGTGTCGATTGTTGTTGTTTCGCGGAAGTGTCACGAGGTGTGCATTGTTTCGAAAGTCTCCCAGTTCTGTGTCGTGCATGCTCGAACGTGCATCGCTTACGGTAACAGTCCCGGATCACGGTTACTCACTACCGTGCGTGCCGTACTTTTCAATTCCACGATCTAACGTCTGTTCTGTTAGTCACGGTAAGTTTGTAACTTAACATGCTAAAATGTCACATTATATTTATCAAACGAATCAAATTTCTCGCTCGTTGCTCCATTAACAACTTCCGTCGGCATTTATGAGCGTTTGCTTTATAGTTCAAATAAAATGTCAGAGGCCACTGCCATTCATGCGATTTTATAAATGTCATAAGTACGTGACATTTATGTGTATTTCCTTTTTTTCATAATTCATTATGTATAAAATTTCCGATATTTGATGAAAAGTTACAATTTAAGAAATTTCTTTCCTGCTGTACTGCCAGAAAATTAACGACTATAAATAGCATATCGATCGTTTACAAATTTGAATAAATAATTTTTCATTTCCACATTTGTACAGATTACAAAGTACAAAGTACCATCGGTCTTGTGGCGCAACGGATAACGCGTCTGACTACGGATCAGAAGATTCCAGGTTCGAATCCTGGCAAGATCGAATTTCTTTTTTCCTCATTTCATTCGTATCCCATTCAATTTTGCAGTTATTCGCTCTCACATTACGAACGATCAGATATATAGCAACTAAGCAAATCTTTTGCAGTTAAAAACTCGTCACTTGAGTCATTGATATATTTGAAATGGTAATTGAATCCGGGTAGTAACAGGAACAGTATTTTTCGCAATACAACCGACGAGAACCCGGAGAATCTCCAGGAATAGTACGCATTCCAGACGGTCCGTGGTGATGTCGGTGCATTTTATTTCTCTCTTTGCATTCTTTGATCTAAAAATTCACCCGGAAGATAAACAGTGTGACGAATCTGGACACGTAGACTTCTACTCGCGATTGTCACGCGAATCAGTTCGAATTTGAAAGCACATTATTTAATTTGGAAAAGACCTTCTTACAAGTTTGTGCGAAAGCAGTTTGCTCCGCTGTAAATATCTCTTCTTGTTGTCACATACATATAATAAGAGATTGGAAATATTTAAATTCTTATCAATTGTTATAAGATTGAAGACAGAAGAAAGTTAGTAAAATACAATTTTTTATAGTTATCACAAGTGTAACTGTGATGCAAGCATATCACATTCATCCAATCAGGCATGTTGAATTTCAGGAAACAGTATTTTATTTAACGATCAGAATTATCTGACTAGTATCAATGCATCCTTTGCCTGCGTACGTAATGGAATCGGTTAATATCGTACAATCGTATTAAAAGAAAATGTACCGTTGATTCACTTGGTAAAAGGCGATAATTTGAACGATAAATTGCACAGATTCTGCTTGTTATCGTGAGTGCCGCGCGAGAGCAATCACCGGCGTATCTCGTTCGTGGTCTCCCTCGAACTTCCGCCCAAAGATGTGAATTTCTACTAGCGGATGTTCGTCGCGGTATAAACGAGCGGAACGAATCGCGATTTCGTTCTCTCTTCCTCTATCTTCAATTCCTGTTTGCGCATTCACTTTTCTCAGTCCGTATTACACCATGGCCGGTTCGATTACGCATACAACTACTCTTCAATTTTATATCACAAACCTACATACTTTCAATAGTGTCCGATTGCTCTTAAGGATGTATTGGCTATACAGTCAATACCAAAAATTTATGTACCTTAGAAAAACGCATTTCTTCTAATTAAAAATAGTGCATTTTTCNTTTTCCCTCAATAACTCCTAAACTTTTTATTATTATTATATATTATTATTTACAGATTATATATTATTATATATTATTATTTACAGATTTCATTTTTTAAACGGACATTACAAATGATTTATTTTACATAAAAATTCACAGTCTAATCATCAGGAATTCTTATAACATGGATGATTAAGTATTAGTTTTAAAAAATTGCCTCTTGTCATTATTAAAATAAACAATTTGCGTATCGTTCTCTTTCCCTCTCTCAGCGGTAACGAGATAGCGGCGATTCCATCGCGAGGATCAGAAGATCCCCCTATCTAGGACGCGAATGCAAGTGAAAGGGAATTGCTCCTTATGTTATCTTTCCAACGTGGACAATAGACAATGGCTCGGGGCTGCAGTGCATCGCGAAACCCCGCGATCCTCCGCTTTCTTTTCTTATCGTCCCGAAATATCGACTACTCAAAACTCACTTTAAACACCGTTTTATTCTGTCACGTATCGTTGTTTACCTTTTCTTTTACAGTACCGAACTATGCATATCCGGGTGTCTTTATCTTGAATTCTCGTCAGCGGATTAAAAGCTGTTTGCACTGCAATACATAGACGTGTTTCTGTAATTTCATTAAGCGCAGCAATCTACATTTCGTTTTATCATCCTGTAGGATAAACTATGATTTCAAACTAACGGATTTTCTCACAATCCAGCGAAAACGGGGCCATAGGGCGGAGGGAATACGAAAGCAGGATACTAACAATTAACCCGTTTCCGAGTGGCCTTGATTGTAGTTTCGGTTCAATCGATCCGAATTCGCGTAAACAGAAAGTGGCTATCTCTGTCGAGCAAAAAGTTTGTCGTTTCCTTTGCAGAGAGAGATCTATAATCGTGGATGGATTACACATCGTTGATTGCGTGTTGAGCTTAATATGAACTTCTTTGGCGGACACGCAACCAATCATTTTGAAGATCGTAAAAATAGATCAAAGAAGATCACCGTGTGTGCTAGGCTCTATACTATAGAACCTTGCACGTTCGATTCGTAATACTTGTGACACCGCTTTCATGCCGGGATGATAAAAAAATGTTTTTATTAAAAATTTCTTTCTACTCGACAGATTTATAAAGTGTTTAAAGATCTGTTCGAATCCGTTCGCTGGTTTAGGAGATCATTTCTTGCTCAGGTAGCTTGCCACGAGTTTGCTCTTTACCAGTTTTAATGGGCGTAGCACGGTTAATCGCGCGATTAAGTTGCAAAAACTAGAGTTTATCGAGCATGCTGGAGCGTTTTGCAAAGCGAGGAAAGCGAGTCCTTGCTTTCTCACCGGTTTTGCACGAACGCAACCGTGACTGTCGGAGTTGCATTAGGAGCTTTCGCTTTCAGAAACGTATATATTACGAGTTATTATCGAGTCACGACGAGAGAACGTGTGTCACGACACGAGTAAATTATGGATGCGCTTTTGGTACGTGTTTTCACCTAACGCGATAGACCCTAGAAATGTTTCCACCGTATCAGGTGATGACCTTCGAATTACGGCTGATAGCATTCGATGTACACGCGTAGTATCAGCAATATTAATTGTCAGCTGACAACTAACAATAAACTCTTTTTATAGGCACAGGTGCATAGAATGTTCTAAAGTCACCTCCGCGTTCTTAAGAAAATTCTGCTGATTACGGACTTTCCGTTGCCGTTCTGTCGATTCTCTTGAAATTCACTGCATTGAAAACCGATAACGAAAGAACGGGAGAGTTTATGAAACAACCTTGTACACGTGGAAGTTTGTTTTAAAAATATAAATGAAGCTACAGATTATATTTTTACGATATTGGCTATTGTCTTGGAATGGTCAATGAGCTTGTATCTACTCGTTATTTTCAGATTAACCGGCTATTCGCTTGGCATTCGGTTCGATTAATAGGAAGCCTTCCGCGCTCGATCTACTAGATTAATGCTCGTGCGCTGAAATTGATCAATATTCCATTGGGAACAGGAGAACCAAGGGAAAAAGTCGACGCGACGCGTGGAACGTGACGCAAAACGTGCAGACGCTAGACGGTGTGGAGCGACGAATGAACGGGTGCACCGGGAAAACAATTAACACCGTACAGCGGTGTCTCGTTAGTAACGGGCAGACGATTCGTTATTGCGGTAACCAATTATTACCGGAGCCGTCCTCCGCGTCGTTCCGAGTCGCGACGAACAAAGTTAAATTCGTTTTTAATTGCGCATCGTTGAAACGATGCTTCTGTTAACTTTGCTCCTTTAGATTTTTATCAGTATAACAAATTAACTTCAAGTTCCACTCGTAGTTCATGAAACTTCGTGTCACACCGTCTACGGTTCATTTGACCGGAAATCAGCCACGGTTGTGTTGTAAAATCGTTTAAGGATGTATAGGCCATACACTTAAACAGTGCTGGCATGTTGAAGTTGTTATTATAGATT